CGCTTGTTTCTCAGGCGGTCCTTTGTTGAGACACCCGCAGCGGGGGGCGTTGGGACCCCATCCGGCCTCGGCAGCAGCTGTTTAGCCGCAGCAGCGCTCCCGCCTGTCCAGGGGATGTGCCACCGTCTTATATTAGCTGCCAAATAACCCCCTCTAACACTATAATTTGAAGGGGCATCTCTAACGTTACTGGTTATTTCACAAACTGGTGAGTGTGGCCTGCTTGCTTTCCAGGTTAAATTACACAGTGGCTGCAGCATCTCCCTCTCTTCAGCCTGCCAAACCTTCGCAGTGAATGTCATACCTTTTAACGGGGAAGGCCTGGGGTTTGTGTATGTGATGTAGCACATTTCAGATACTCCGGGCATGCAGAACTCCCCTGAATGGCCCGAGCACGCTGCTGCTCTGGGGCTCCTTGGTTGGCTTCTTTCAGAGACCCAAGTCACAAAGCGTTTCAAAGGCAATGTTACGTTTACACAACATTGATAAAAGACAAGAAGTAGAGACAAAAATCAATTACCTGATGTGCTGCACTGGTGCCTGAAATGGCTCCAGCACCATAAGCTTTCATGCACCCATGAAGCATTGCTAAGTCACATCAGCCAACTGTTCCTTTTACAGAATTACTCTTTTGGAGGATCTTGGATACATGTCTCCCAAAGAGGTTGCAAGCTTTTCCAGATATCCTCAAACCATTGCATCTTTTCTGGTCGTCGTCTGTGGTACAGCAGTTTCATGCAGTCGTTGGTGGAAGCCTCACAGTTTCAGCAATGTCTAACTTTGTTCTGTAGCTGCAGAGTTGCAGTTACACTGATAAATTCCAGAAGTGTAGCAGAAGTGTAGCCAGAAACCACTAGTCAAGAGCTGATCATTCCCATTAGTAGTGGCAAAACTTCTTGACAGTGGAAGATGGAAGACATCCATTTGGGGCCTTCTTGCAATATTAGATTCAGTAAACCATAGAGGGAGGGGGCAGACATGGGCCAAAATGTTTTACATATTACTTGGAAAGACGCAACCAAGGTGGAAGACCACATCTCCACTACAAGACTTCTCCACGTTTGTGGAGGTCAGCTCTCTCCATCGTTCCCATCAAGTTCTGTGTGCAGCTACAGAGAGGTCTGATCTGGGCTCCAGGAACAAACAGAAGCAACATAGTTCTGTGTATCTTCTGCTGTGTACCAGCTCATTATTCCCACAAGGAAATCCTTGTCCTAGGGTGAGGGCAGAGCTTGGATGAAGACGCTTTTGAAGCTGAATACAAGCAAGATAGTGGTTACACTGATGGCCAAAGAAAACATGTGGAGGATTTTAAGCTCAAGGACAATGTTGATGAAAATAAATAAATGGTTATAAACTGTCTGAAACAAGTGTGGTCTGGAAATTCAAAGAAAGGAGTGAAACTGTGTTTAAGGAGTGAGCTTCAGGAATATCTTGTCCGTTGGCACAGTGGGGATAAACAGAGTTACTTCAAAGTTTATGGCCAGGAGCAGATTGTGACAACAGGGGAACTGCTGCTCAGGATTCTTGCCTTTCTCCTGGATGGCCACAGTGTGACACACCTGTATGCGAATGCACCTTGTTACGGTCCCTTAGCACAGAATGCTTCATGTGCTCTACGTGTGTCTGTTTGTGTGCGAACCTGTGACACAAGCACATTAGGCCTTGTTCTAGTCTCCTAGGAAACATTAAGTAAAATTAAGACTTCTCTGACTTATCTTGAAGGCGCTCACAACTTAGTTGTCATAGCTCCTTTAAAAGATTGCCTAAACTCAGTGAGGATGATGGCTGTGGTTGGCACCTCTGATTCTTAGATGTCTTCTCAAAAGGATATTGTTCATCCACGCAGGAGACAGAAATCCTTTGCTGTCCAGTGGAAACCTTGACATTAACTCACTTCATGGCTGGAGACTACTGCAAATCATACCTGCTTCTTTCTTCAGTGTAAGACACTTTTTTTTTTTTTTAAACTTATCTTCTCTATATTGAGCAGCATCTGTTATAAAAATTAAATTTTACAAACTTCTCACTAGTCCCTTAGAAAATTGCCCTCTCCATAAAAAAATATTAGATCTTGGTATGCTCAGGAATATTAGTCATCATTGCAATATAAGCCTTCTGTGGTGCTCCTACATTACTGTTTCCTATATCAATTTATTTGCTTTTATCAAGACAATTTTTTTTTACTCTTCAGTGCTGTATGTATTTTCTGAGGACAGCATACAGACACATACTCACAGGTACCCGTGCTCTCTCTCCTCAGACACAAGTTTGAAAAAGTAGAGTTTCTGATGTTACTGATGAATGTGAAAAACAAGTCTTTGAACAGTGGGATTTTCTGGGCTGGGCTTATTCAGTTCTCAACAACTAAGGAGCTAATTCATCAACAAGACAGTAAAGAACAGCAAAAGATCTTGAAGTTTCTTTCTTTTATTTCTTTTTTTTTTTTGATGAAGGTAGCACCACATGCCAGTCTGTACTGTTTGTTTTCAATTATTGTATTTTATTTCCACGTAATGGAAATAAACGAATGGTTCTCTGGGGGGAATTTCTAATTCCCAACAGGAGGGCAGCACCAGGATGATTGCTGATATCTGTTGCCTAGTGCTGCTACACCTTTAGTCTTCTTTTTCATGTCACTGCAATGGAATATCACTTGCAAGGTTCATCAGAAATTGTTAGCAATCTTCTGTCCCTCGTGTGAACTCATTGGGAACACTTGACAGCCCTCTGGAATCTTGATTCACAAAACAGCCTTCACTAGATTTTTTCAGATTCCCTGATTCTATAGCCTCATGGCATAATTAGTTTTAAATTAGAGGTAACCTGGGGGTATTTCTGTAATGATTTTATTCTCGAAAGGTGTGCTTTAAAAACATCACTGTAATGGCAAATCTTGTAACTTAAATTCTGGTTCTAAAAGGTTGCAATTGAAGGTACTGCAGAACTTTTTTTTTTATTTTTTAAAAACTAAGCCACTTTCCCTGTTAAGCTTCCAGGCTATTTTTAGATGGTTTCTATAAAAAGGTCTTTTAGGAGACAGTAGATGAGGTCTACCCCCTCCCTGACACATAATGTTCTGCGCGTCTATTCTTAGCACCATGTTCTGTCGGATTACAACTTTCTGGTAGGGAGATGGGAATTGCTTAAGGACAGCTCAGAAGCGTGACTACACACTTCTCCAGCATGTCTGGAGATGGGGTTATTAATAACTGCCAACGGCCTTGCTTGCTTCAGCAGGTTGTAGACAGCACAGAGGAGAGCTGCTCACTGTGTATTGGCTCAACAGGAAGGAGGTCGTTCTGTCCATTAATTGCAGGGATACTGTGGAGGCACTAATGATGATGAGTTGCAGACCTCTGGGACTTCATGTCTTTGAAAACGCGGAAAGTTTTGTTTTTAGGTTGCTTTTTCACTGAAGAAAAATCATCATCTGTTCTTACTCAAACAGTCAGTACAAACTTCTCCAGGAAATATTCTAACTGATAAAACA